TTACGCCGCCGTCGGCAGGCGCCAGCAGCGCACGCTCGCGCTCGAGGCCGGCGAGCAGGCCCCGCCACTCGGTGGCGGCAAACGCGTCCATCTCGCGGGCGTCGCTGGCGAACTTGGCGAACCTTGCCTGCTCGGCCTCGCACAGGCTGGCGTGCCAGGCGACCATCCGGCTCTCGGTATTGATGACCGCTTGCTCCCGTGTGTCGACCCGCTTGAGCATCTCGTGGAGCTGCTGCACCCGCTCCAGATGGGCGGCCGCCTTGAGCGTCTCGCGGGATTTGAAGAAGCCGTCCCACGACTCTTGATAGGGGTAGGCGCTGCCGTCGCCCTGCGGCGACTCAACACGGAGCATCTCCCCGACGGTCGAGGTGTTGGCGCCAAGGAGGTCCGGCGCCGTCTTGCCGTCGGCGAGGATGGACTCGACCACGGTCGGCCTGGAGAGCGTCATCAGCTTGAGCAGGTTGAAGGCGAGCTGCCGCACGTCTTCGTCGGTACTGGTGGCAAGGTAGTAGAGCACCCGATTCCCAAGGCACTCGAAGAAGGTCGGATCCTTGTTGGCGTCGAGAAAGACGAGGCTCTGCGCTTCGGTGATCTCGGTCAGCGTGGCGAGGATGCGGTCGTCGAGCGTGAGCCGATGTAGCAGGATGCGGTTGAGGCTGAGCAGCAGCAGCGAGGTGGCGCGCGACTGGCTCAGCTCGGGACGATCATCGAGCAGGCGCAGCAGATCGACAATGATGCCAAACAGGGCACCCTCGAGCGGCGATCCGTTGAGGATGTCTTCGGACGCCTTCTCGATGAATTCGGCCAAAGCCTCGGTGGCCGAGCGGGCCACGTCGGGCGTCTGCTGGATCGCCGAGCGTAGGTGGACGGTGATGTCGGCGTAGAGCGAGGTGCGGAAGCTAGCCTGCCTCGCCAAATCGGTCGGCGGTAGCGCTGTGGTCAGAGCAGACACGATGGCCGTCGACCGGGTGGACAGCATCGAGTCGACCGCGAGCCGTGCCAGCATATCGAGCACGGGGCCACACAGCTCGGCCACGTCGGTGGCCAGCTTGCCGTGCCCTGCGAGGTCAGAACCGCTCCGATCTGTGCCCACAAAGGGGAAGATGGCGTCGATGAGGCCGCGAAGCACGATGGGCGAGAAGAGCACCTCTCGAAAGAAGTGAGATGCCGAGGCGTGGGCGCGGACAAGCTCGAGCGTCTCCTGCAGCACGCCGAGCTCGTTCGACGTCTTGAACGCCTCCTGCAGACCTGATCGAACGGCGGAAAGCCCGAGGTGGGAGTCGCAAAAGCACGGCAAGCGCGGCAAGCGCTGGTCAGCGTCGCCCGCGTCGCTGCACAGGGGCGGGATCTCTCTCTGCAGACTGTCGAGGTCGGGACTCACCCTTGACGTCGACATTCATCGACTGGCTCCGTTTCCGCGCATGCCTCGGCCGGTCGCTGCTCGTCGGTGGCTCGAGCAGATCCGAAGGCCTGCCCTTTTGGAAGTGCGCCCTGCGCTTTGGCTCGTCGCCGCGCAGTGCCACCGAACGGAGTCCCTCTTTGGCGCACGAGAGGATGGCGCGCATCGCGGGTGGGCAGAAGATGGTGCGCTCCGCGCCCCCATCGGCGGCCGGGGAAAACGTCGGTACAAGGGCCGGGACGCCTGCGCCGTCCATACCAAAGAGCGTCGACCAGAGCAGCGACAGCGTCATCGGCGTCGACCAGAAGCGCGGAAGGAGCCGCTCCATGACCTTGAAGCCGCCCGCGGCCGTGAAGCGCTCCGCGAAGCCAAGCTTTGGGCGGTTGAGCAGCTTGACGAGCAGCTCGAGGGCCAGCGAGACCGCCCTCCGCTCGGCGCGAGGGTGGAAGAAGAGCAGCAGCCACTTGACGTTGATGGCCTCGGCAAACTTTTGCAGGTACGCCGGCTTCTCGAGGACGAGCTCCGACAGCATCTCGAACACCTGGAGCGGTACAGTCGGGTCTTCGTCGCCGCCGCTGCTGCCGCTGCCGGCAGCATCCCCACCGCTGCCGGCCGACAGTCGCTGCGAAAGGCCCTCTGTATCCGTCGAGTCGAGGGCGCCGGCGACCAGCGTGTTGGACCTCCGTGCGATGGGCGCCTTGGCCAGCGGCGCCTCGGGACCACGGCACAGCTCGGTGGCCAGGTACGACGTCACGATGCGGATCGATGCGTCGGTGAAGCCGCTGTTGAGCACGGCGCGGAGCGCGACGACGAGCGTCTGAGCCGCCGTCGTGCCGTAAACACGAGAGCGGAGCGCGTAGACGATCTTTTTGGGGATCTGCATCTTGGCGACCCGCTTGGCATTGAAGCGTCGATGCCGCGACGTCCTCAGCAGGATCTTGAAGTGGTCCAGGTGGACGAGCTGCATCGACTCGCTCGTCTGGGACCACAGCTCAAAGTCGAGCATGATGATCCGGTAGAGGAACGGGTTGACCAGCACCGACTGCTCGATGTACGCAAAGTCGATGCCGATGGCGGCCAGCAGCAGCTCGAGGGTGGCGGGTTCCAGGATGTGCGCCTTGCTGCGGAGGAGATGGCCCAGCACCTCGTAGCCCTTGGACCGCTCGACGTCCTCGCTCAGGCGCCACGACGACGAGACCAGGTCGAAGAAGAGCGACAGCGTCTTGCGCAGCGCGAGCGCCGTCGTCGATGCGTCAATCAGCTGCAGCAGCACCGAGCTGCCGCCCAGCCTCCACACCAGCTCGTCGGTGCCCTTGGGCATCAAAAGCACCGGGTCGCCGTACAGCTTGGCGAAGCCGTACGATGCGCCGATCGCCTCGCGCGTCATGGGCAGCGCCTGGTTGAGGATGACGGTGGAAGACGAACGGTACGACGGATCGGCCGCGCCGCCTTCGGGCGCCGAGCGGCGAGGCAGGCGTTCCAGCTGAGCCGTGTTGGCCGCGTTGAGGACAAAGTAGAAGCGGTCCTCGTGCACCAGCTCCGACGACTTGGCCGCGACCGCCATGACGAGCGGGTGCCGGGCAAGCTCCTTTTCGGCCTTGGCACCGGAGCTGCGGGCGACGGCGTCGAGCCGCAGGTTGATCTGGGCGCTAGCACGATAGGTGAGGAAGCGGCCGAGGCTGTCCTGGGCATTGCCAGAGTAGCGCAGCCCGAGCTCGCAGAGGACAAGCGGCATGTCGACGGGCAGCAGGTCGTCGAGCAGCCAGGTCGGGCCGAGCGACCACACCAGCCGGTTGATGCGACCGCCGCCGCTGCCGTGGGATCCGCCCATCTCGCCAGACATGCGCGCCTGGGCGTTGGGTGGAGAGCCCAGCACCGCGCGGACGGGGCTCCCGAGGTTCGGCGGCGATGGCGGCCAAGGTGCCAGCTTCTCCTCGATCAGGAGACCGTCCACGAACAGCTGGACGAGCGACGACTTGGCGCCACCCCTGGGCCTGGAGTGCGCAAACACGATGTGGTAGAGGCGCCCGGGTACGAACTGAAACGCCTTGAACCGGACCGGCGGCGGCTGATGGAGCGTCGAGTAGGTCAGCAGGCCCGTGCCGGGCTCGATGGTGAGTCTGGCGGAGCACGTGCGGTGGGCGTCGAAGATGTGCAGCAGCTCCAGCGGCAGGCTCGGCTCGATGCGGTCGATGCAGAATGAGGTGACGAATGTGAAGCCTCTCGAGTCTGGGCCCGGCGGAAACGGGCGCCGCAGCGTGGAGAAGGCGACGGAGGCGTGGCCGTACTCGGCCATGGTGAAGGTGATGCTGTTCCGCTCACGCGAGAGCGGCGAGACGTCGAGGAGCAGGTCGAGGAGCGTGTTCTGCTCGAGGGGCACCCCGGACTCGACGAGGTTGCGGAAGATCTTGCGACCATCGACATCAGGGATCCCGAGGGCCAAGAGGTGCCTCACGATGCGAAGGTAGCTCAGGCGGCCCTCGTCGACCGATCCGTCCTGGCGCAGTACGAGCTCGAGCAGCCGAGAAGCCAGACCAGTCCCTGCAAGCAGCGCCTGGTTGCGCTTGCTCGAGGTGGCCATCCTCTCGAGGATGCCTGCAACCATCTTGCTCAGCAGCGGGTCGTTCCGGCCAAGACCCTGGATCATCTCGAGCACCAAGAGCGACGCATTGGGAAAGACGATGGGTGCGGACCAGACCTCCTGGGCTCGGGCCGCGATGACAGCCTCGGCTCCCGCCCCGCTCGCTGCGTCCCCCTCTCCAGTAGCCTGATTTTGCGCCGCCTGCTTCTCAATCTCGCGCCGAAGGCTGTCGATCCTGCCGCTGTAGGTGGAAACATCGCCCATGCAGAGCCCGAGCAGCGAGCCGAACAGATGGTCCGGCGATGTCTGCCCGATGGTCGACAGGACGATGGAGGACCCGAGGTGCTTCCAGCCCACCGTCTCGTCGAAGGCCTTGACGTTGAGCGGGTGCTGCTGCATGGACTCCGAGAGGATGGAGAGGGCGAGCTTGAAGATCTCGACGCGGAGCCGCTCGCGGATCTCGGGATCGTCGTCATCGTCCTCCGCCACGCCCGCTCCGCCTGTTTCGGCAGCGGGGTCGGGCGTAACCTTTTTGTCGCCAGTGAAGTCGGTCTCGGCACGGCTGACGTCCCCCCGTGCGAGAGACAAGGCCCTCTTGCGCCTGTGTTGCGGGCTGGAGCTCTCGAGCGAGGACAGCAGCTGAATCACGACGACGAAGCCGCCCTCCTCGCGGAAGTCGTCACGGCCATGCCCGCCGTGCGAGCCCTCCACCAGGAGTCGGTGGAGATGCCCCCCGAGATGGAGCTGTGGTTGTTTCGAGGTCAACGAGGCCACGTCGGCTGCGTCAGCGTACTATCCCCCTTTTGCAGAGGGCGCTCCCCTCGAACGGGCCGTTACCCACCCTGCTCGTCAGGTCGTCAGCGTCGCTTCTGTTCAGGGCCTCCATCACTGAAAGGAGCTCGTCTCTCTCTGCCAGCCTCTCGGGCGACAGCGAGAGCAGAGGGGATGGATGAGCGGTTGCGGGCAAGCCGCTCGACTCTGTGGCCGACCATGAGCGGCCCTCTCCGATGGTGGGGCTGGCTGTGCCGGCGTAGGCGGCGGGATCTGCCGGCACCGCGAGAGTCGCAGGAGAGTGCGCTGATGGGGAAGGATGCGCAGACCCGCCCAGATTGGTCGGACTGGGCGGCGCTGGCGATTGTGAAGGCGAAGGAGACGAGTTTTCGTTGAGCTTCCCCTTGCCACCGAGCCTTGGCGAGCGATAGGTAGGGTAGTTGGTGACGATCGTCGATGCGTCTGCGGTCAGCGAAGATTGAGAAGCCGATCTGTGCAGGGCTGGCGACGAGGAGGCCACCGGGCTTCCGGTCGGCGTAGCGACAGGCTGGGGTTCTGGCGAGAGAAAGGCGGGCGAAGCGGGCGAGTGCGTGTGCGAGTGCGAGTGCGAGTGCGAGTGCGAGGTCGTCGTCGGGGTCGGGTTCGAGGCCGAGGGTGAGGCCAGACTGGCGTTGGAGGTTTGTACGGCGGCTTGGCCGTCGGTGGTCCTTCGAACCTCGAGCGAGGATTTGGCTGGCTCCATCTTTGAGCCAGTTCGCCGCCGTCCAGCGGTGAAGCGGGGCAGTCCAGAAGGGAGACTTGTGCAGGACGTCAGACCATGGGCTTCCGAGGCGGGCGAGAATCAACTCTGACGGGCCGAGCGTACGATCCAAGGTCCCTCCCGGGCGCCAGGATGGGAAGTGAGCAGATGGGCGGCAGGGCCGCGTGCCAAGGTGACAGAGCCAGCGAAGCTAGAGAGGCGGATCCAAACCAGCCGATCCGGCGACTTTTCGAATGCGCGAGCGAGGAAAGGGCAAAAGGGGGCAGTTTAGGCCGCTCCGATGAGGGCAGGAGGAGTCGCCGCCGCGGCCTGCTCAGGTGTCGGGTAGCTGAGCTAGAGAGCGAGCAGCCGAACAGAGCAAAGCAGGCGATAAAGGCGGGAAGGGATGCGACGGGGCGGCAAAGGGATGGAATCGAGGATGGTGAAGGACGTGAGGCAAGGGCGGGCAGGGAAGCTCAGTCCAGGCAGCCCTGTGTGGGCCAACCCCACATCCATGGCGGCCCGCGGCTGGCAGACTACGTACACTACTCTGGCGCCAACGACGTCAAAAAGTCAAAGCAGCGCCGAGCGGAGCGGGCGCACGGTGCAGCCCCTCTCTTCTCTCTCTCTAGCTGTCTCCCTCTCCCTCTACTCTTCCCTGCCTGCTCTCGCCGTGCCCGGCGGCCTGACCCACCGGAGCGTCCGCCGCGGCAGGCGTTCCGAGGTGGACCCTGGCCGCCTCTCTCTTCGCATCTTCTTTTGAACGCCGACGGCGGCCTCTCACCGCACCGCCTGACGACGACAGGGAGGGGCCACCTCTGCGACATGGCCCACGATTAGGCTGGCCATCCGACTACTGTATCGATCCTCGACGAGAGGGCAGATGCGGCCGGGCAGAAGGCAGGGGCGGTACGAGGACGGCTCGGACGGGGAGGGGGGCGTTGGAACGTGGTAGTTTTGATACAGTTTACTCGGGGGTGGTATGTGGACGAAGACGGCGACGGCGACGGCGACGGCGGGGACAGCTTCTCGAGAGTAGTAGTGGGCGGTCTGTAGAGCGGAAGAACAGGCACGGAGACATGAGGGAGTGGTAGAGGGCCAGGAGGGTATGCCGCCTCGCCCGGGGACGGTTCAGCAGAGCCGGGTCCGGCGACATTCCTAAGCGGCCGGCGCCGTCTCGCTCGAGGCTTGCTTGTTGTAGTCTGCAGCGCGGCGTGGCACCAGGCGATGGGAGCAAAGTGTCGACGGGCGTATGCGTGAGAGCGAGGAGAAGAGAAAGGACGGGGCATCAGTTGTCAGATGTTCGACAGAGATAAAGAAAAACGAGACGGCGACCGACATGGACACTCACCCTCCATCTCGGCGTCGAGGTCCTCGATCGTCTTCTTGGGACGAGCCTCGCGCTTGGCACCGCCACCGCGGGTCGAGCTGCCGCCACGGCCACGGCCACGGGTAGCAGTCTTGGCACGGCCAGCAGCGGCCTTGCCACCGGCAGCCGCGACAGTCGCCGAAGCGACGGTGGGCGCGGCGATGCGAGCCGGGTCGACAACCACCTCGACCTTGAGCGGCTTCTCTGTTGGGGGAGCACGATCGATCAAGAGCAGCAGATCCGACGCCGTGAGAAGTCGTTCGGCAAGCCACCAACGCAGGAGGCCACGGGCCGGCACTGCAACTCACTGCCGTCAATCAGTCGGTTGTTGTACTGGGTGTAGGCGCGGTTGGCGTCCTCGGCGCGCTGGAACTCGACGGTGCACACGCCAGTCGAGGTTCCGTTGGCACGGTAGTTGAGCGCAAGCTTCCTGAGCGGGCCGATGGTGGTGGCGAACAGCTCCTTGACCTGGGCCTCGGTGACGTCGAGCGGCAGGTTGCTAAGGATGATCTTGCTGCCGGCGTTGTTGCCGCGGCCGGGGATGACGACCGGGGGCTTGTTGCGGTTCGAAGCGGCGACGACGGCGGCGTTTTGGGCGCGGTTGCCGAGCGCCGCCGCCTTGGCGCCGCCAGGACGGCTGGTGCCACGACGGCCTCGGCCACCGCGTGCGCCGCCCTTCTTGGGCTTCTCAGCGATCAGAGCGTCGAGGGCTGCGAGAGAGGGGTATGAGGCAAGGGCGGAGGCGAAGGCGAAGGCGAAGGCGAAGGCGAAGGCGACGGACGCGGATGCGGAAGCGGAAGCGACGAGCGGTGTGAGCAGGTGCCGTCCCGTTTCGAGACGCCGAAGTCGGCGACGGCCCTGCCGCGAGCATGTGGTCGGAACCTCTGACGGTGCCGTCATGTGCTGTGCCCGTAGATGACTGCATCTGTCGGAAAGGAGCAGTCCTCACTCACGCTTGTCGAGGTTCATGGACTGTGAGGTGTCGGCCGACAGTGAGGGTGGCGCGAGTCGTCGAAGACAGTCGGAAATCGTTTGCGATGTGGCGATGCGACGATGTATGGAGGACGGACGGATGAAAAGGAGAAGTTGCGAGAAGGGGGCGTCAAGAGGCTGCAGGTCAGATTTTCGTCGCTCGCGCTTCGCGATGGGCTGCCGGGTGTGCTGGAGGCCGTCGTGCTGCCGAGTCGACCGGGGCCTAAAATGCTGTGGACTGGTAGCGCCAAGAGATGAGAAGGCAGAGCGCGAGGACCGGAGACGCGACCTCGCTGCGGGGGCAAGCCCGAGGTGACGGGACGAGGCGGTGCGGTCGGGGGCCTCGATGCAACGCGACAAGACGGAGATCACGTCCGAAGGTGCCCGACGCAGTGACGGCGGTGTCGCGGCTGTCTGGCCGGTGACAGACCGAGCACAGTCGACAAGGCTCGATGTCACACTCGCGGCTCGGCCAGCTAACGCGGTCGGCTTGACGAGCGATCTGCCGCTCAGCGCTCCGTCGCTCAGCCGCTCACGCGAAAAGGGCAACACTGTTGCCAGACGGCAGGGTGCTGTTCCCGAGGCGTGCACCGAGGCCCATGGCCGAGGCTAGCCGCTAGCCCGCCACCACCAGCTGCGTCGCACTTGTCTGGAGCACCGAGCAGCGGGCTGCATGTCGCCCGCACGCGACCGTCGGGCGGCGCCTTTGCCTGTCGCCCTCCAGCGACGACGGCGGGAAGCAGCACGGCGTGATCCGCCGTCAGGGTGGCAGGGGCAAGATGCCAGCTTTGCCACTGTCTACCCGAGATCGACGGCCGATCCACGGGGCCCCCAGCGAGGCGAGCAACGATGCTCGGCGTCGTCCGCCCGCGCCGTCGTGCTGACAGACGCCTGTTGTCGCTCGAGATCGACGGCACTCGCGCGACCGAGGGCACCATCGTGCGCTGCCCGAGGCCAGACGCCAGGGGCCAGGCGGGCGTCCGTGGACAAGGTGGCGTGCGGCTGAGCTTGACGGGTGCGGAAACTGCGTGGCTTGCGATTGCAGCGAGGTCTCGCGCACAAGTCGACCGGCCCTGCGTCTCGTCGCGCCTCGAGGCTGAGCCTGAGCCTCGAACGCCCCGTGTGTGCCGCGCAGCATAGCCTTTCGCATGGAAAGCTGCTCGACTCCAGCACGGAGAGTCGTCTTCCGCAGAAGGAGCATGCGCTGTGGCGAGCCCAAGGGCGCTGCCGACCTTGGCTAGCCGCGCTGCCGGTGCACTCAGCTGGGTGCGAGGCCCCGTGCCAGGTTGACTGGAAGGGCGGAGAGGCATGGCAGCCATGGCAGACGCGCATCGAGCATCGATGCGGCCTCTGCTGGCATTGGCGATAGCTGACTGGGGCAAATGGCCCGGTGCAGCGTCTTTTTCAAAGGCGGTGATGACCTGGGCTTGCCGCAGCTTCATCGGTCGCGTCTCGGCCTCCCGCTGATGTGATCGAAGGGCGGCCACTCCGACATGATCGAGGCGGCCAGGACAGAGGCAGGAGAAGATGAGGACGGAGACGTGGACGTGATGCTGACCATTTTTGCGAGAGCTTGGGAGTGAGCGTGTCTTGAGAGCGGTTTGGGGCCGGTGAGAGATCTTGATGGGGCGAGATGGGTGGCGAGCTTGTTGAGAGAGGAGAGAGCGAGGACGGGTAGACGGTTGGCGGTGGTGCTGGTGGTGGTGGTGGTGGTGAGGAGGAGGAGGAGGAGGAGACGAGACCGCAGAGGGGACGCACGCGGTGGTGAGGGGCAGGCGGGTGGCGGACCCAGGCTAGGCGGCTCTGACCCTGGCAGGCCGGCCTGCTCGTCGCGCTGAGCCCCAGGCCCTGCTGCCTGGCCTGCCACAGGCCTCGACCCCGAGTCTGAGGCTGCTGGGCCGCAGCCATCCCTGCCTGCCTGGTGCCGTGCCCTGCCTGTCTGGTTCGGTTGGCCGGCTCTGCTCTTCAGCCAGCCAACGTCCTCTGCCCGCGCGCCTGCCTGCCTGCCTGCCTGCGGACTGCCTGCCTGCGCTTGTCCGACAGGCCCCTGCTGGCCTGCCCGCCTTGCAGGAAAAAAGGCAGCAGCAGCAGCGAGCCAGAGGCAGGCCGTGCAGGGCACCGCACGGCTGGCCCGAGGTGATCGAGACCCTGTCCGCCCAATCGACTACTCTTGTTCATTCGCCCGAGTGAAGGCGGGACCGCTGGCGGGCTGGCTGGCTGGCTCGGTTCGATTCGGGACCGCCGACGTCGAGAAGGATGCTGGAAACCAGGGCCGGGCCCGCCGCCGCCGCCGCCGCCGCCTCCGCCTGACAAATGCGCGGGCGCCGGCTCCTCTTGATCGCCCCGGGCCCGATGTCGCCACCGTCACGTTCACCACCACCACCACCACCGCCACCACCAAAGCCACCACCTCTTGCACTTCCAAAGCGACAATGCGAGCTACTCAGGTCACCCACAGCGGCATGCCCTCGGGCCCCACCTACGTGAGCGTCGCCCCGTCGCCCCCACCGACGTCCGACTGCCAGGTCCAGCCTTGGCCTGCGACTTCGTCCACCACGGCATCTGCTGGCTCGTTCGACGTGCTTGTCCCTTTGCACTGATTGCTGACATCTACTCTGCCTTCCTTCTTGCCCGTTGCCGACCGCACACTTCTTGTCCGTCGTTCCTACTGGCGGCGACTCCAACCTCGCTGCGCCCGTCGATCCTCAACTTGTTCGACCTTGCACCTCGCCCTCGCCCTCGCTACCGTCCATCCTGCCGCCCTCCTCTCCTTTCGATGGGACTGACACGTCGCGCGCATTCAGATGGGCTGGTGGGGAGGTTTCGCCGGCCCCCAGCAGAAGGGCATCACTCAGTACTGTGAGTGCCTGCTCGATAGCTCGACCTCAGGCGAGGATTCAGCGACGGTCCTCCGGCTGCAGCCCGTCCTTCGAAGTCTCAAGGAGCGCCGCTACCGCAGCAGGTTGCGCGGAGGAGCACGCTGGTACCTTGGATCCGGGCCGTCCTCCAAGGTCGTGGAGCTCAGGGCGGGATAGCCTCCGTTCCATTCAGCCAAGGTGCCGCCGGTTCCCCGCCGTGCTGTGGAAGCTCCTCATTCGACGAGATGGCTGCCCGTGCGAGCGTCGGGATCGGTCGCCCATCGTGCCACAGCTTCATGGGTGAGACGGGACGCAGTGCCTCGGGACGGCTTGCTTACCTCATCGTTCCTTCGTCCGGCACCTCGGCCCACAGCCCTCTCGCCCTTCCAGCAGAACCCCGTCAAGAACGCCGTTCGCGACTACATCTTCTTTGGCTACAAGCGCCTGATGCAGCAGGCGCCCTACTTTGCCATCCCCTTTGCTGTCGGTGAGTGGCCGTCTCGGCGCGAGCGACGGGCCGTGTGCCTCTGCGTTTCGCCTGGGCTTGGCCGTGGCAGCCTGTGTCTCTGTACTGACACGCACTCCCTCTCTCTTTGCTCCTTCGTCATTTCCCGCCAGGATACGGCATCATCGCATGGGGCAAGAAGAAGAACGCCTACTACAACTCCAAGGCCGGTCACCTCGCGGGTCACGGCGACCACTAGATGTCCTTCCTGGTCCGAGTGTCTAGCCCGCCGCCCGCAGTGAGCGACGCCTGCAAGCCTCGCGGATCGACTCTACGCGTCTGTCGAGGCCTCGGGCGTTGTTGTGCTCGGGCCAAGTCTGGAATCTCAATCTGTTCGAGTGCTGAGAGCTTGCCTGTTCACATGGACCCTTCTCGATGCTCGAGAGGGTCGCGTCTCGTTCGACGTTGCCTCTGCCAAGGCACGTTCTGTTCATCAAAGCTGTCTGCATTGCCGCCGCCGCAGCCGCTGTCGGTGCTGCTGCTGCCAGTAGTAGTGGATACAGAGGGCGGAGATGGCAAGGCGGGGCCCCTCTCCCGTCCCTGCTCGCTGGACGGCGGCCCTCCTCGGGACGCTACCGCCGCTGCTAGACGGCCGAGTAGTCGATCTTGGACTCGTGCTTCTTGGCCTCCTGGAGCTTTCTGACGGCCTTCATAAAGTCCTCCTGGACGCAGTAGTCGCGGTCGTCGCGGATGGCAAACATGCCGGCCTCGGTGGCGACGTTGCGGAGGTCGGCGCCGTTGAAGCCGTCGCTGAGCTTGACGATGGCCTCGTAGTCGAGCTCGTCGCGCTTGGCGATGGGTTTTGTGTGGATCTTGAGGATCTCGAGGCGCGACTGCTCGTTGGGCAGCGGGATCTCAATCTTGCGGTCGATGCGGCCCGGCCGCATCAGCGCCGGGTCGAGCGTGTCGGGCCGGTTGGTGGCCATGATGACCTTGGTCTTTCCCAGGTAGTCGAAGCCGTCCATCTGGTTGAGGAGCTCCATGAGCGTCCGCTGGATCTCGCGGTCGGCGCTGGTGCCCTCGCTGAACCTCCGCCCGCCGATGGCGTCGATCTCGTCCATAAAGATGATGCACGGCTCGTGCTCCTTTGCGTAGCCGAACATCTCGCGCACCAGCCTGGCGCTCTCTCCGATGTACTTGTCGACGATGGCGCTCGAGACCACCTTGAGGAAGTTGGTCTCGAGCGTCGACGCCACGGCCCTCGCCAGCAGCGTCTTGCCCGTTCCCGGCGGGCCGTAGAGGAGCACGCCCTTTGGCGGCTTGATGCCGACGCGCATAAAGAGCTCCGGGTTCAGCAGGGGCAGCTCGATGACCTCTCTGAGCTCGCGGATCTGGTCGCCGAGGCCGCCGATGCCGGCGAAGCTGGCGGCGCCCGGGTCCTCCATGCTCATGTTGTAGACGAGCGGGTCGACCTCGCGTGGGAGGATGCGCATGATGGTGAGGGTGGTCATGTCGAGCGAGACGCGGACGCCCTGCTTGAGCTTGTGCTTTGGGACGCTGGCGCGGATGCCGACGACGTAGCGCGGGCCGGACGAGGCTTTGACAATGAAGCGCTCGTCGTCGAGCTGCTTGAGGACCTCGCCGATGATCTGGCCGACCGACTGGAGCGCCTTGATGTCGTCCTCGGTCTTGTCGTAGGCCTTTTCGAGGTCGCGGAGGCCGAAGCGCAACTTCTTGAGCGACTCGGAGAGCTCCTCGTGCTGCTTGAGCGCCTTTTTGTACGCCTTGAGCGCCTTGTCCTTGGCCGGGTCCTGGGACAGGACGGGCTCCGACGGCGGCTGTGTGGATGTCGAGGGCGTAGGGTCGGCCATGGCGAGTGCGTCGCTTCCCTTGGTGGTGTTGTGGAGTTGGTGGGGGCTGTATCTCTCTATGCTGGTGCGAGGATTAGAAGGCGCGTCCGCTCAGAGGGTGCAAAAGCTAGGATGGGCTAACGGTGGTCGAGGAAGCGATGCGAAGCGGTACGGGTGCAGCGCGGTGCGGGCAGTGGCGAGGGCAGCTCGGTGGCGATCTGGTGTGATGCCGGTATCGGCAAGAGGTGCTGGCGGTGGTTGAGGTCGAAGTCGAGGTGATGGAAGTAGGGATGCCAAGGCGGGTTGGGCACGATAACGTCGAGCTGCGAGACAGAGAGGGGAGGGGGTTTGGGGTGGTGGCTGCTGCTGCTGCTGCCTGGAAAGTGGAGAAGCAGCGAACGCGCGTCGCCTGCCTGTGAGGCCCTCCCGGCCGAATGCAGGCCGGGTGCCAGTCGCCGCCTTGTCGAGGCTAGGGCTGCGCCGATCGCTCGCCCGCTCGCCCACCGTGCGCAGCCCAGCAGGCAGGCGAGGAAAATAGAAATCCGCCGTGGGCAGGCGGCGATCGGCCTCAGCCGACTGGATGCCTGGCTGCCTCGCTGGCTGTGACTGCCTGTGACTGCCCTGGCACACGGGCCGGGCGGGAAGAAGCTCGCCCCCTCGGCCCCCTCGGCCCCCTCGGCCCCCCCGACGCACAGGACACGCCAACTAGTCCCGGCCCGTCTCGACCAGACCCGACCCGCCGTCCGAGTTACCGTTAACCCTTAACGGTTCGGACCCAAACCCGGGAACCGGAGTA